ATTAATTAACATAGTCACAAGGACGTCTAGGTAATGTCTAAACACCATATTCATCAAATCCATAAATGCCGCTGGAGCATTAGTGTCACGACCCAGGGGTACCCCCTAGATGTAACATGTCGTATAGAACCACGAAGGACTCCATACACCCCACTTAGCTCTGATAACATAAGAAATATAATAATAAGAGTAAAATAATAGTCCAAGTCCAAAACATTTTATAAAACAAAAGACATAATTCTAAACTCTTGTCTCACAGTAGCCAACTAATACAGTAGAATGAAATTGGGCCTAGCTCATACATCATGTCTAATAGAGAAATACATGAAATAAACTAAAACAACAAAGCTCGTCCTCGAAGCATGAAAACTCACCAAAGCTTGAGAGTCAATCAAATCACCCACTAGCCAGGAAACTAAACACCCTGAATATCGGACACTAAATTTGGGGAAAATGTAGGCAAGAGTATGCCTTGGTACAAAAAATGTATACAGTATAATAACCATGCATAAAATATTTAAAATCATACTAAAAGGGACATTTCATTTCATGACACGCAATTGAACAAGCTAAGCATAATATGAAAGAGTTATAAAACACAAGTCATATATCATAGTCAATGGTAGCTAACTTCATCTTTATAAAACCTTTGAACTCATATGCGATACTTCTTGAAGTAACCTTAGTTCATTATTACTTGTGGGGAAATTAGCCTTAACCGTCATTGAGACCATGTGAGCTATAACATGGAATCTAATGTCTACCCCCACACTAAAAAAAGGTGTCCTACTTGCCAAAGGAAGAACCTTGAACTTCTAGCTTAATTGGATCTACTAGCCAATCAACCTATGAGGCACATAGTTATGGGATAAGGAGATTGCTACTAGAAACATGTCCTTTACTAATGGGAGAGCTTCCATCTCATAAGATTACTTTGGAAACCTGACCTCTACTACGAGAGAGCATTCATGTCATATTCAACATCCACTCGGTGCTAAGCATAACTTCCCACGGAATAGTCATTTCTTAGTTGACTTCATTGCTCATGAAAAGGTGCCTTTGGACAACTAATCCAAGCTACTTCATTAGGATAGCTCTTACTCATTGATTCAATTAGGTTAGAAAGACTTTCAACCTAAAAATCCTTTCTATAAGGGAAAATATTTCACATCATGCTATTATGTGTTAATAAGAATATCCTTTCACAACACAACATCATCATTGGTACTTCACTCTTAAAGCACCCTTAAAACATTTGTATGGATTTCATAAAATAATGCATAAGTCCATAATTTACCTCTTGAGGTAAAAGCCCACATTCAATCATCAATGCTTAGAAAATACGAGTTAGATATGGATTACATCATAAAATCATGTAAAGCTTTCAATACATGCTTAATTTTCATAAAACTCTTCCTTGAAGATCAAAATCTCACTCCATATGTTTCGTAGCTTGAACCATGGGGATTACGTGGGTTCAGGGTGAAATTATCATAAAATCATCATATTTCATCAATTCATGCATAAGATATCATATTTCATCAATTCATGCATAAGATATCATATTTCATCAATTCATGCATAAGATATCATATTTCATCAATTCATGCATAAGATATCATATTTCATCAATTCATGCATAAGATATCATATTTCATCAATTCATGCATAAGATATCATATTTCATCAATTCATGCATAAGATATCATATTTCATCAATTCATGCATAAGATATCATATTTCATCAATTCATGCATAAGATATCATATTTCATCAATTCATGCATAAGATATCATATTTCATCAATTCATGCATAAGATATCATATTTCATCAATTCATGCATAAGATATCATATTTCATCAATTCATGCATAAGATATCATATTTCATCAATTCATGCATAAGATATCATATTTCATCAATTCATGCATAAGATATCATATTTCATCAATTCATGCATAAGATATCATATTTCATCAATTCATGCATAAGATATCATATTTCATCAATTCATGCATAAGATATCATATTTCATCAATTCATGCATAACTCACCACTAACGGACCGTGGACTGACCAACGGTGCATCCTGCACAATCGTGGTCGGTGGTCAGAGAGTTTTGCCTGGACCTACAGCCCATGGACCCATCGATGACTCGTGGATCCTGCTGTGGTTCATGGCCTAGACAGGCTTCTTGGTGGCCCTTTCCACGGACCCCCTACGGTCCATGGTTCAACCCAGGTGCCATGGTTTGCTCTCATGGATTGCACCTGTAAGTCCTGAAAATTTGCTAGGCTTTCGTCTTTCGAATCCGAGGTGTTACAATAATTAGAATAATAGTTATATTTCAACTTTGAGTCCTAACTTTAAGAGCTAAAGGAGAAGATTTGGGTCTACTTTGTGAAATGTTAAACCTACTAGAAATACAGACTTAGATTAAGGTATTGAATTGTGTTTTTGTTGAACACGATTAAGACCGGAAGAGACACTTTGTGATATAATTCTTTCAGACGAAAATGAGATTAGTCTTGCTTGATAATGACCAAATTGAGCATGCAATGAATTGTAATGGATCATTGAATGAGTGTTGAATTTCATATTTTCCAATCCCCACATATCCCTAACTCTATTAACTCTTTACCAACTACTTCGTTTAGTTTCCAAAATCTCTCTTAATTTGATAATATTGTATATTTTGTGTTTATGTTCAAACTTGTATCTATTTACCCTTTGTCTTTTCGATTGCCGACAAATTGTTCCTGATGGAATTCCTCCCCGACACTCTTGTTGGGATTTTATCAATAACGACCACTTATTCTCTTACTTATTTTTACGGAAAATTGAGTGCTATAAAAAATGGCACCATTGCCAAAGAACAATTAGTGGTATTGGATTGATTTGTGATTTGTAATTTACTTGTCTCTATCTAAATTGTGAATAGTTGTCCTTAATTTCTTTTTACTTTATTTCTGTTGCTTTTTGTGATCATCATATGTTTGGGAGTGATATGCCCATACCGACCCATGTTCTTGTGATGAAATGAAGTGAGAAGTCAATTTAGGCTCAGGGTCATGGGAGAAAATCTCATTTGGGGTGAGAAAGTCGTACACCTACTTTCCTATGAAAGGGAAAAGCTTCACAACATGTACCTAACTCAGTGCCATGAGATAGTCAAATTCGAGTTTGGACTTGCAACACTTGGGGCTAAGGTGAGAACAACAAGGGAGGTAGAAACCCCTCCTTATCTAGTTGCTGGAAAAGAGCAAACATGAGTCTCATCAATTGCACCTAGCTAGGTGCTATGAGATGGTCCAACTCGAGTTTGGGATTGCAACTTTGGAAACTAACACTACAACAAATTTGCCCTACGGCCACACTTATTTTAGACCACACTTAAGAAACGTTGCAAAAAATATTTAAGGGCACACTTTTGAGGCTTTACTTTTGATCAAACCTTTTGGCTACAAAATAATAGACCATGCCTAAAAAACGTGCCCTTAGACAATATGGGTTACACTTTTAAGTGTTGCCCAATCATAAAACAATTGGCAACACTTTTTCATATATTTTGCTATGCTTTTTAAGTGTTATTAATTTTTAATTATAATGACAACACTTTATAATTGTGCCTTAAATATTCACTTAAAATTTTCAGCTAAATTTATATCATTCCCTCCATATTGGGTTTTAAGAAAAATTAGCGTGGTCCTCATTATATATTCTTAAGAAAATTTTTGTCATTCATCATTCAGAAAGTGAAGAGTTACTCTCATCCCTAAAAAAATTCTAAATCAAATCTAGGAATTTTTTTTGTCATTCATCGATAAGAAAAAGAGTTTGTTACTTTCTTCAAAACTATAGTGAGGCAAATCTGTTGAATCTTCCACAAGCATTCATCTTCGAGGTAGGGTTTTGAAAAACTTTGAGATTTCATCATAAATCAACGCCTTCTTACGGTTTTCATTATTATACTCGATAATCTTAAATATCCTTCATTATATTGTTTTAATCTGTGAGCCTTTGTTAGTGTGAACAGAATTTGTGCTTCGGTACATAAAGCCCATAAAAATTGTGAACATAATTTTTTAGGGGTTTCTTCTGGGTTACAACTAATATTATGTTAGTTTGTCAACTGGGTTTTAGAGTTTCTGTTTTTCCATTGTGATTTCTCGATTTGCTTTACTACTTAGGAGTTCTTGTATTTTTCCTCAATGTTAATTTTTTAAGTACTTTCTACATGTTTGTACTTGTTATTATATATATCTTGATGTTTAGATTTTTTCAGTTTTTGCTTTAACAGAAAAGATTATTAGTCTTTGGTGGTGAGGTTGCTACTTATAAAAAATAGTTTTCTGTGAGCTTGGTAGCATATGGTGCAATGTTAATAGTTTTTTGTGATTTTGTTAGAATTTTCTCTTTGAGTTTGGTAGCATATTTATCATGTGAGCTTGGTAGCATATTGATTTTGAATAATACTAATTTTAATTTATTTTTTCTCCTAGAGAATTATCCTACACGTGAGAGAATTTAGTGGACTTGAACTTGAATTTTGACTTAGCGTAATTGTCATGGCTGGGTAAGAACTTCTTATCCTCTATATTTTCTTATTGTTCTATTTTTATACTATATATAATGTTGAAGAATCAGTTTCAATTTTAGGATCTATTTATATTGTTAATGCATAAATTAATGTATATCTTGGAGATTTTACATCAGCTTTAATATTTAGGATCTCAAATAATTTATCTAAGTGTTGGATGGATTATCCAAGGTATAGTAAAGAGTATATTGATGGTGTTCAATCTTTTTTGGACTTTGCTTACTCTGTTGGAGATCCTCAAGCAGAACAAATTCAATGCCCATGTTCAAAGTGTTGTAATATCCATTGGTATCGAAGGAACGTAATATATGATCATTTAATATGCTATGGCTTTGTTCAAGGCTATACAAGATGGATCAATCATGGGAAATGAGAAATACCGAAAAATGTTGATACTAACATGGATGAAGCTCACTCATATGATGATATTGATGGATTGTTGAATGATACCTTTAGAGATATTGCACAAGATGAAAGAGCTTATGAAGGCCCAAATGAAGACGCCCAAATTTTTTATAATTTAGTTGATGAGGCAAGCCAAGAACTATATCCAGGTTGTAAAGGTTTCTCTAAATTATCATTCACAATTCGTTTATACTTGTTGAAGTGTCTCCATGGATGGAGCAATGCTTCTTTTACTTCTCTCTTGGAGTTATTAAAAGAAGCTATTCCTGAGTTGAACATTCCTGAATCTTACAATAAAGCCAAGGCCGTGGTAAGGGATTTTGGTCTTGACTTTAAAAAGATTGATGCTTGTCCTAATGATTGTATGTTATTTAGAGGTGACCATAAAGATGATGAGTATTACCATGTTTGTGGAGCTTCTCGATTTGTTGAACATCCTGAAGTAGATAGTGAGCTTGAGTCTTCTAAGAAACCTCATCGTGTTCCTATTAAAATTTTGAGACACTTTCCGTTGATTCCTAGACTCAAAAGGCTATTTATGAGCTCAAAAACAGCAGAATCATTAAGATGGCATGACGAACAACGTTCTAAAGATGGAAAGTTAAGGCATCCTGCTGATGGACAAGCATGGAAAGAATTTGATAACATACATCAAGAATTTGTAAAAGACTCTCGTAATTTGAAACTTGGCTTAGCAAGTGATGGATTCAATCCATTTCGAACCATGAGCATATCTCACAGCACATGGCCTATTATGTCAGTGGTGTATAATTTACCTCCATGGATGTGCATGAAATCAGAATACCTTATGCTTTCTTTGCTTATACCTGGACCGCGATCACCTGGAAATGACATTGACATTTATATACAACCATTAATAGAAGAGTTGAAGGAGTTGTGGGAGTTCGGGGTAGAAACATATGATGCTTCAAGAAATGAAACTTTTCAAATGCGAGCAGCTCTTTTGTGGACAATTAATGACTTTCCTGCATATGCTATGTTGTCCGGTTGGAGTACAAAAGGAAAGTTCGCTTACCCTTGTTCTAATTATGGCACTAACTCGTTCTATCTAAAACATAGTCGAAAAATGTGTTATATGAGCCATCGTGTTTTTCTACCTATGGATCATCCGTGGAGATCTAACAAAAAGTCTTTTAATGGAAAGACTGAATTCAGGTCTCCTCCTCCTTTATTGCAGGGAACAGATCTGCTTAATAGCCTACAGAATGTTGAAAATGTATTTGGAAAATTGCAAAAGAATCAAATAATGGCCCATCGAAGAAACGATCAATCTTTTTTGAATTCCCGTACTGGCAACACAATTTGCTGCGTCATAACCTTGATGTAATGCACATAGAGAAGAATATAGTTGATAGTATAATTGGAACACTTTTGGATATTTCTGGCAAGACGAAGGATCATCCAAATGCTCGTTATGACCTCAAAGAGATGGGCATTAGGAAGTGCCTTCAACCAAAAGATACAAAAGGATGGTAGGAAGGTAAGGCTTCCAACAGCATGCTTTTCAATGTCTAAGGGAGAAAAATCTATTTTTTCTGGTGTTCTCAAAAAGGCAAAGCTGCCTGACGGTAGTGCTTCTAATATTTCTGGATGTGTGAAGCTAGCTGAAAGAAAAATATCTAATTATAAGACTTATGATGCACATTTCATGTTACATTACCTGCTGCCTATACCTATTAAAAGCATATTTCGTGATCATGTGGCTATTCCTTTGATTTGTTTAAGTTCCTTCTTCCGTCTTTTATGTCAAAAAGTTATCACATTGGAAAAACTGGATCATTTAGAACTAGAAATTAAAGAAACATTGTGTCAGTTCGAGCGAATTTCCCCCCCTAGCTTTTTTGATATAATTATTCATTTGTCTGTTCATTTGGCGAATGAGGTAAGATCAGGAAGTCTTGTACAACTTTGATGGATGTATTCTCTTGAAAGAGAAATGGGCACTTTCATGTCATATGTTCGTAACAGAAGGCATCCAGAAGGATGTATTGCAGAGGCACGTCGGGTTACAGACTGTTTGAATTCATGCTCTAGATATTTTCATAAGGGTGTACAAACCAAATTTAACAGAAGACCCTGAAATGATGATGAGTGTGGATAACCAGATGTGCAAACTTCTAACTTGTTTCCTAATAGAGGTTGTCCACTAGGTGGAAAAAAGGGCGAGCCAACCTTTCTTGATAACAAGTCATGACATCAAGCACATGGATATATACTGAACAATTGTGATGAAGTTCTAGAATATATTAGGTAAATTGATTCACTAGTATTATATCATTTATTGTATATACTTCTTAAATTATTTTACTCATTTGATTGCTAACAAATAACAATATTTGTTTGTAGAGAGCATGAACTTGAGGTTAGTAATCAGGGAAAATGATCTAAATGGAGTAAGGCCAAAAATCATAGTCAAAGCTCCTCTCAATGGTTTGAAGTTCGTGTTATGCATGAGGATGTGTCAGATTTGATAAAACAGTTATCGAGTGGACCCAATTCAGTTGCTAAAAGATATACAGGGTATATTATAAATGGGTATAGATTTCATACAAGGTGATGTGAAGCAAAGAGTAAAACATTAAATAGTGGCGTTACATTAGTTGCTTTAACTACGAGTTTTTCAAGCTCTAAGGATAAAAATTCGATTGATGCAAATCTAACCTATTATGGTAAAATAGTTGATATCCTTGAGTTGGATTAATATAACCATTTTAAAGTTGTCCTATTTAAGTGTGAATGGTATGAGGCTAAAGAGGATGTTTATGGCTTTACTTATGTCTACTTCAACAAAAGGTGCTCTTAGGAAGAGCCTTTTATATTAGCATCTCAAGCTTATCAATGTTTTTATGTGAAGGATCCATATGATGATGATAAGCATTATGTTATGATAACAGTCCCAAGAGACTTATTTAGTATGAGTGGTGAAGCCGAATCTGATGTCCCCCAAAGTAATATAAATGAGCCATATGACCATTCAATAGGCCCTTCTATACCTGAAGATAATGGTGAAGTTGACTTAGTGAGGAGTGATATACCAGCCACAATTATTAAGGTGTATCCATGTGAATTTGTTGCTGAAGAACCTGAAAATGAATCTGAGGATGAGGATGAGTTCGATATTGAGGATACATCATAATTTCTTTCTTTTACTCTACAATTTAACTCTGCCTTACATAGTTAGCTTTAAGTCTTTGGAATTGGGAGTTAAAAATGGTTCAATTTACAAACTTTTTAAGTTTTTACGTTTTATAGCAGTCACTTTGTTTTCTAATTCTCCAATAAAGTTATCATTGATTGCTTTTCTTGGTCTGAGAAATCTTTGAAGGTATACAACATTTTATCTTGTTTGCACTATATTTCTGCATTTCTGCATTGTTTTATCTTTTTTGCACTATAGTTCTGCATTTCTGCATTGCTGCACTATCTTTTAATTTTCTGCACTATGTTTCTTTATTTTCTGCTCTGTATTTTTACATTTTATGTACACTTTTCACTGCAATTTTGTATTTTCTGCAGCGTCTTATATTTTTTGCCCTATATTTCTGGATTTCTGCACTATATTTCTGCATTTCTGCATCGCTACACTATCTTTTAATTTTCTGCACTATGTTTCTTTATTTTCTGCTCTGTAATTTTACATTTTCTGCCCACTTTGCACTGCAGTTTTGTATTTTCTGCATTATTTTATATTTTATGCACTATATTTCTGCATTTCTGCATTGCTGCACTATCTTTTAATTTTCTGCACTATGTTTCTTTATTTTCTGCTCTGTATTTTTACATTTT